CTAGAGAAAATCAAGACACTTCTTGTTATACTGCTTCAGTGAGAATTTGAAGAAGTTCATTAGTCTGAGCTGCTGTATATCACAGTTTATTCAGTGTAGATTCAGAAGAAGTTGAGATATCAGTAACAGCTCTAATCAGAGAAGCGTGTATAGTATTATAAACTGTTTTATCTTGATTAACTAATATCTTCAGATTCAAGAGCTGATGCTCTCAGTTCATTCAGTGAGTATCTATTATATCAGATGATATATCTTACTCTTATTATAAGAGAGTATCTATCATTGAGTTCTGACTGTCAGAATGATAGTGTATTGTAAAATGAAAGCAGCTTAAAAACTCAGATTATTATATCTGTTATTCAGTGAGTTTACAGATAGTTGTGAAGTACTTGAGATTCTTATAATCTGTAATTATCTTAAATTCAGAGATACTTCAGAGTTTGAAGTCTCATTCTTCTAAACAGTGTATAATTGTGAGAAGTTTCTTATTATAGATCTCATAGTTGCATTCAGTGAGACTTAGTTTCTTAGATATGAAGATATATGATTGTAAGACATCTTTATCATTATATTACAATATAGTTTCTTCTATGATATAATCAGAGAAATCAGCTTTAACAACTGTTTTATAATCAGAATCAAATATTATAAGCAGAGAAGTATTGATGAATATCTTCTTTATCTGTGTAAATACAGCTTCAGTGTTCACTGACTATTGAAATACTGAGTTCTTCTTAGTAAGTTCTGTAAGTAGTCTCATAATATCTGAGAAGTTTTGTATAAATTATCAATAGAAGTTAGTGAATTCAATGAAGCTTTGTACATCTTTCACAGTGTACAGAGCCTCTCATTCAAGAATAGCAGAGATCTTCTCAGAATTCATTCAGATTTTCTTATCAGCTTCTATGATAAAGCCTAGATATTTTGTACTTTTAATCTCAAAATCATACTTGTCTATGTCTATCAGCAGTTCTGCTTTCTGTAGCTGTTATAATATCTTTTATACATGTTCTTGATATTCTTTTCTGAATTCATCAGTGAAGATGAGAATGTTATCAAGATATACAGATACAAATTCATTAAGAAAATCTCAGAGTGCTCAGTTGATATACTTCTGAAATATACTGAGAGCATTAGTCAGTTCAAAGAGTGTGACTATTCATTCAAAGAGATTATATTATATTCAGAATACTGTAAGTTACTCATCTTCTTTAACAATGCAGATCTTATGAAATGTGATGATAATATCTAACTTTGTAAATCATTGAGCTTGTTCAATATGAGCTAGAGTTTCATTGATAAGAGATAAAGAATAATAGTTCTTCTTTGTTAATCTGTTCAATTCTCAATAATTCACACAGAATCAGAGTTCTTCACCTGGTTTCTTTGCAAAGAGAATAAAGGCTGTAGTGAAAGAGTTGTTAATATATATGAATTCTTTATTCAACAGATCATTGAGTGTCTTTTGAAGAAGAAGAAGTTCATCTCAGAACATATTATAAAGAGAGTCTCATAATAATTCAGAGTTCTTGCTGTTCTTCTTTTTCAACTTGATACTGTGATTCACTTCTGAACCTTGTAAGAGAGATAGATTTGTAGCATTATTATCTTGTCAGAAGACATCTAGATATTCATAATATTATTAAGAAAGTTTTATATGAGAATCTGTTATTATAATATAAGATAACTTTTCTAGAGTCTTTTTAATATCAGTCAGACTGATAGAATAGATTGATACATGATTCTGCTATTGATAATTCTTTCAGCAACTTCTTTTTCTGAGTATTTCATAGGCATTGACAGAGATCTGTGTCAGATTCATAGTCTTGTGAATATCATTCTTGTGAACCCTATCATTGTTAGAGAATATTAAACTCCTGTTTTAAGTGTTTAATAAGATGTTTTATTCAGATAGTCAGGCAAGTTCTAATATAAGATTATAATCAAGATTATCAACTTCATATGCATAGATATCTTCATACTGATATTCTTCAATATTTATATTTATTTTCATTATATAACAGATGCAAACATCTTTTGAATTATTGAATTCTGCAAGAAGTCAAGGTTTTAATAAGAGGATACACTTAAGATTATAATGTCTTATAACTGAAGATTTAATCATTGTATAGTGACATAGACTGCTGTCTATCATAACTTTCATATTATACATGTTATTAATCACAGTAGATACAAGAATTGTATTCATTGTTATTTTCTCTTCAAATTGTTATTATCTGATCTCTTCAAGCTTCTGTTTATGAATTTGAACAGAAGCTAATCTTTTTCCTGTTTCATCAGAGTATTCTTATAGTTATCTTTCAAATCTTCCTTCACTGCAATGTGATTGACACAGACAGACACTGATTTATTCTTTAAATAAGAAGGCGCTGATCTTTCTCTTGATTAAGAAGATACATAGATTAATTAACAGTTGAAAGTGATGTGTTCTGATCAGTTACAGTTGATGTATACTTTATATTAATATTAATCAGTGACTTCTTCAGAAGTGATCTCAGAAACTCAGAAGTCTGTTCAAACAGTGAAAACTCTTGCTTATGTGTAGATATTCAAGTCTATTCAATTCATAACATCTGCATCATTATTATTCTTCAGTGCAGATGTATAAGTATAATATCTTCTATCACTATTCTGTATACTCTTGAGCTTGATAAGATAATCATTCAATATCTGAAGTTATACACAGAAATCTTTATAAGTCTGATCTTCATCTATACTTACAAGAGTCTGTAAGAGTTCAAGAGCTAATGTCTTCTTGAGCATGTTAATCTTCATTTAATTCTCTCAAGATTGATCACCTGCTTCTAGAATCTTAGTGTCAAAGTCAGAAATAAATATTGTAAGAGAAGTGTTTCTCTGTTAGATACTCTGTAATCAATCTAATACTTTCTGTTGTATGACAGTGTCTTGAAACAGAATATCAAGATATTTAATAATATTATCAGATATTTATAACACTAATTCACATACTTTCATTTATAAATAAAACTTCTATTTCATACAATTCTTCAATTATTCATTGATATATTAACTTTAATTAATTAATGAACTGATGATATCTTCATCTATACTCAGTTTTATAAGTATTTTCATTCTTCATGATAAGTAGAGAGTGAGATTAAAAGTATTAAAATATATAAGAGTATCTAAGTATTCTTTCAGTGCTTTTATATTCAATTCTGTAGATGTTGAAATTGTATGAGTTTCTTATTATAATAATTATTAAATCTCTTCATATTAATATTATTGAGTTGCATGCATATCAGCTATTTATTATTATTGTAGTTTTAATATTACTCAGAGTTACTGTAATACTGTATCTATACTTATATTTAAGAGTTCTCTCATACTATCATTAGACATAATTATATTAATTATCAAATATGTAATATCTGTGAAAGTGTAATTATATGAATATCTTATATATCTGAGATATTAGAACTCTCAGATCTTCTGCTGATATTCTCTTATAAGATCTTACTCTCTTTGTAAGATCTTATTACAGAGTCAGAGTGACTGATAAGCAAGCTTCTATCTGAAAACTCAGTGTTCACTTAACTGTTTAACTGTTTCTCTATTTCTTATACATTGTTATGTGTTCAGATATCTCAGTGAGTAATTGTTTCTAATAAGAAGACAATATATGAATAATTATTTCTAATAAGAAGATGATGAATGTTTTTCTAGTATAAGAGGCCTACACTGAATAGATCAGTATAATAAATAGAACTTATATAACAAAGAGAAAAATGTTAGAGAAGAAAAAGAAAGAGAAAGTGTGAGAATCAGTGATCTAAGTGGATATTTATATGTGTATGTGGTGATGTACATGGTGGGGCTTCGGGGCGGAAGAATCTATACGCGTTTGTGGCGGCCGAGGATCGGTGATCGAGAATGGCTGAGAATTGGAGCATACGCGTTCGAGAATGGAGCGGTTGGAATCTGTGGAGTGTAACGGAATAGTCTATATGATTGATCGGGCGCAGCCCGCCACACTCTGAGAGTTTCTGAAAGTGTAATCAATGACCTGTTCTATACAATCTAGCTGTGTCATTGTGTAATAGATTTTATGAAGCCTGCCTGGAACAAGGCAAAGAGAGAGTCCAGGTGTTAGTACTTGATTATATATTGTAGTGACATTCAGGTCTTTCCAATCTGGTGTTTACTACATCTGCCTGTGATAAATATCTTTTCAAGACTAGGATGACACTGCCAGGGTTAGAAATGTGATTTGTTATCTCAAGACACATTACTCTACCCAATTTGTTGCCTTGCAGCACATACAGTTATCTTGACATCCAAGGGCTCCAGATCTGGCAGAGCTTTAGCCAGACGGAGGGGTTATTGTTCCAGATAGGGCAGATCACCTCTACCGAGGTATTAATTGTACAATGAAAAGACTAAGTTCTAGGTAGGGATTCATATATCATGTGGTTCCCCGCACTTTTGGCTGTGGGATTGGAGTAGGGTGGGATGACAATTCTTGGGGATAGTAGCTGTAGTTTGGAGAGCAAGATTGATAAAGCGTGGCACGCCGCAACGGAAGCGAGTCGGTCAAGAACTCATGATTATTAGAGGTTCAAAGCTTCGAACCTAATTTCAGCACATTAGTCTCGTGTAAACACGGTCATTCTGCGGCTAGTGAACGAAACACGCACCACAATGGCAAATGGATGTGGATTTGGCCATGCTACGCAAGCCTGGAATGGTGTAGGAGCGTTTTGGGTAGCATTGCATGGACATGCTGGTGATATTATATGATTAGACAATAGTACATACGATACAATCGACTAGAACCCTTTCTACCAATTCTCTGTCCAGCGTCTCATAAGGCGGATTGTTTGTTTCAAAATACACCCGGAAGTAAGATAATCCGGTCCGTTCACTTTGTTTACCACGTTTGCTCCATGTGGCTTTCCGAATTGTAATTAAGTGCATACAGCATTGTAGGGAGATTACTATAAGATTATGCCTTTAGAATGAATCTGAAAATACAAGAATTGTTGGCTGAGCTCGAGCGAGAAAGAGCTGAACTTGATCAAGAAAGACAATGGTGTCAAGACGCGGAAGCTGAGGTGAGAAGCAAAAGAAGACAGCATGAAGAAGAGCAACAACAACATGAAGAAGCAGAAGCTTTGGCTGCGAGCTCAGAGTCATCAACACTGCCTCTGTTTTTACATGCCTGCCATGAATTGTTAGTCGCGATCAAGATCATGACAGACCCTACTTGAACAACTCAAGGCGCGGTAACAAGACTGACAAATCAGAGGGTTCCATCTCACATCATGTTGTGGGACACATTCACTGAGGAGCAAATGAAGGTGTGGCACAAGCTCAATCAGCATTCTCATTTCTTGACAGAAAAGCTCTTCTCCTCTCTACATCAGCTCAACTACATCCGCCAACTTATCAGCTCAATTTCCTCAGAGTGGGATCTTCAGTACTATGAACAGGAAATGGTAGAAAATCAAGTGCGGGCCATAATAGACTGAATATATGAGAATGATGAGCTTAAGAGGGCATTCAGCTTGCGCGGATCAATTATCTTTGAAAGCCATGCTAACCTTGGACTTTCAGGCAGTTGATTTGAACCCAGGTGATCAGCAGTTGTCTGTTGAACTCATGGTTGGGACTGAATCAAGTACCAGAAAGAGAATGGGTAAGAAGAATAAAACAAAGAAAAAAGAGATCATGGTGATCACAGGAGGATTGGCAGATCAATTCTGCATCATCACCAGGATGGTGATGAGCACATCCCAGTGCTCGCTATCAAGTACAAGGCACCCCACAGGCTCACTCAGGATGAAATCATGGGAGGGCTGGCTCAGGACTTTCATCCTTCCAAAGAAGTAATTGGTAAGGACTCAGATGATCCTGATTTCTGCTTGAAGCGGTTAGTTGCTGCCGTCATCACACAGTTGTTCTTCTACATGGTTGCCAAGGGAGTCCGGTACGGCTATGTTTGCGCCGGAGAAGCCTTTATCTTTCTACGCATTCTTCACACTAATGCTCCGCGGTCTCTGGGACGTTGCAGGCTGTGGCTCCCAGCGCGGAAAATCAACTATCACCATTGGGAAATAGCTCTAATATATCGTTGCCTGCAAAGTCACTGCTAGGATTCCTTTATTCAGCATTCAAGGCCTGCACTGGAGACAGCAACATGGAGAGTAACTACGAAAATATTAGTATCAAAATTCATAAAAATCGATTCTAAGGGGGTTGGTGTGCTCACCCAATCTTCTAGTTCATCTTTGTTATGTCTCAGCTCATCGTATCTCGCATCGATGAGTTCTAATTTATGTAAGCTATGTGAAACTAAATGGAAAGTAAAAAAGAAAAAAGATGGATACTCACCGGGTGTCCTGTAAAGCACCTCCAAAACTTCATGATCCATATCCAGTTTGTTCATAAAGGCTTTTGCGTCATCATCCGTTCCGATTTGGCTGAGGCAGAATCGGACCGCTGTATGAATATCAGTTGCGGGTTCATATGTGCTAGAAAAGCAGAGATAGAATGTTCAAGTACCGTCTTTCCTGTAGCCTTTTGCCCCAAGGAATTTGCTGCACTCTAGTATTGCGTCGCGTAGTTCATCCTCCGATTCACCAGTTGGGCATCCATCAGTGACAATTATGATTAGATAGGGGCGTTCCATCTGCCTGCCAGAACTTAGGGGCGCATAAACAAGAGGAATAAGAATTCAATTCCTGAGATTTGTCCCAAGTGGTGTCCACCCATCTGGATCAAAGTCGAGTGTCCGCAATATCGCATTTCCGTCGAGATTGTCGGCGTTAGATAGGTTTGTATTCATCAAGTGAAAATAAACACCTCTGTTGTTTGGGTCCGCCCGCGTTGCAATATCGGTGATGAGTTTGGCGAGTTCCGCTTGCTTGCGCCAGCGGTCTTCTTCCCTCATGGACTGACTGTCATCTAATGCAGGGTGATTTTTAATTTCGTGTTTTACCCTCACACTATGCTGAATTGAAAATTTAATACTTACCACAATAGAGAATGGTTTTGTAAAGAGCCACAGTAGTGAGACCCTGTATTTGGCTGGGTGAGTTTAACCTATTGTTCGGATCATTCCTAAGAGCAGCGGCTTTTTCGGCTACTTCATTGACGTATGTATCTCCAGGGGGGAAAAATCTCCCAAGGCCGTCATTATTGATTGTTCTGTTCAGATTATTTTTGAAGTCCTCCGCTGTTTCAGGTTCTTCTTCGTCAAGCTGTTCATCCACTTCAACAGTGAAGTTCGAAGTATCCACTTCAATAGCGACATTCGAATCGACCTCACCTTCCGCGGAAGAACCGATAGGAATAGCGAAAAGCGCAAGTTGCTCTAGATGGGAGGCAAGATGGCGTTTGAAGACCATTAGAATCACAGTTAGGACATTATCAGGGGTGGAAGTAGGCAATCCAAGCCCCTCGGTGTGCTCCTTCAAGCGGTCAATCCAACTGGAGCAGCAAGGACAATCCTGAGCAGGTATCTGATCGAGAGGCTTCCGACTGATTTCGAGAACAACCTGCTCGTCCCCGTCTTCTAGAAAATCTGGATGATGTTGTTGTATGTGGGCGAGATATCGTTTTTTGAGGTAGAATGTCTTGCTGTTGCATATCCGACAGGTGTAACTGACACGATGGTTTTGCATTTCGTGTTGGAACCATTGGTTGATGTCACCATAGTATGGAGCATCGCATTTGGGAAATGTACACACGTATGGACGGAGATCAGCAAAGACATGTCGCCTCCATACACGCTCATTCTTAAATTTCTTCATTCGGAAACAGAAGGGACATTCGAACTCTTCTTGGCCCTTTATTTTTAAATCCTCAAGCTTTGGGATTCTCGCTAATGTCGATGATTCAAGGTCACCACCATCAACCGAACGTGATATTGTAGTGTAAGATCTTGTGTCCTCCTCGGAGTCTGACTCCTGTTCTGCGGTGAGCATTTGGGGTGTGATACGACCAGGAGCCAAGGTTGAAGCCTTCGTCACGAAAGTCGACGGTCGACTTGAGCAGTCGAGGGGTAGCTTCCCATCATGGAGCTGCTTGTTTGTGTAACCTTGGGGTTCTGGAGCTGGGCCGCGGTCAAGCTCTTCTCGACTGAGTGGGTTATCTAACTGTTCACGGTGATCTTGGATGTAGCATAGGTAATGCCGCCGGTGGGTAATGGCACGGCCGAGTCGCCTACGTAGCCATGTGAACTCTTCGGTGGCAAGCTTTGGGAATTTCGCAGCTACGTGAGCTATGTCGAATTGATCATTGAATCGATATCGGTTTCGACTGAGGGCTTTTGCAAAGCGATCAGTCGGATTAGCCTGGTGGACGAGGCTGGAGACTCGAAAAAGTCGCGTAATGCATGCATTGATCTCTTTGAGGAGTTCATTTTCTTCATTCAGGTCTTCTTCCTTGTTCTGCTCGACATCATCATTGCTGAAATCACAATCATCATTTGAGATAGGAGCAACTGTTTGTTCTCGCTCCATAGCCACAATCTGTAAGACTAGTATACCATTAGCTGACCGTCAGGAGTGGTAGGAGTCGCAGGGACCGGTGGCTCCCTCACGCTCGCCAGTAACCTCACTGAGGTCATCCAATAAATTCAAGACATAGCTCAGAACATCGCCTGCCTCGGACAGGCGCGTCTCAAGAGACATAGGAGAGTCCGGTCGATGAAGAGCTCCGATGTTTCCTGTCCAGAGACTGAACCGCTCCAGTTGGTCATTAACCTGGTCGCGAATTCGTCCATTCTGGTGATTTGGCTCAGCAGGAGTAGTGACAACGGTTTTCAGTGTCGCGATGCAGTATCTGCATTTCTCCAACACGGACGTCGACATCTCCTGGGGCGTAAAATGTGGTGGATAAAGACTTAGACTTGTTTTGAAGACTCTCAAGTTGTGATAGATGAGATGAAGTGGTGAGGCTGATGATTTCTGGGCGGCCGCAAGTGCGGGGTATTTGGACTCACGCTCATTTGGCCCTCTCAGCCTTGCTGTGCTCTTCTCTTCTCTTCTCTCTTCTTTCCTCCCTCAAAGCTGCGAGTTTTTGGCACCCCCCCTCCGCCCAAGGCCCCTCACCTTCCCCAATCCTGCCATCGTGATGAGCGGCATTGAAATCGCAGGCGTTCTCCTCGCGGTCTTCCCTCTCATCATCTCTGGTCTAGAGCACTGGCGCGATGCCGCCAAGGTTGGTGGCTACTTCTGGCGAGTGAGAGAGGGATACAACAAATGTCTTAGAGACGTCCAGTTCTATGAGCTCCTGTACAAAAGGAACCTGAAAGAGCTATTAATGCCCATAGTTGCTGATGCAGATGAGGTGAAACTCCGGTAGGATATGCTTATGCGTGTAGAAAAGCCCTAGCAAGATTAATTAAACAGAACCTGTCTTTGTTTCACAATATAAGCAAGAGACAATAGGAGCTTACCGGCAGCAAAATCACAATGATGGATACTTGAGCTGGGGAATTATCCGGTAAAATGGGAACGGTGATGGAGTTCATTATTGCGATATTACTACAGGAACAAACGTTGAAAATGCCATCGGTGCTTGATGGCTGAAACGTGTTAGGTGAATGCTTTATTACTGAACTTAGAGCTTCAGGGAGGGACATAAGCGGGTGTCAGATGTTACAAAATGTGAAAGACAAGTCAATCAAAACATGTCAAGTCCAAAATATGTCAAGCCCTAATAAATCTTTTCTCCGCTGAGGTAGTTACGTAAAATGTGGATGCCACGGCTGTTCAGAGGTTGCCGGCTGGGTCGACTCAGCTGCCGGCGGAGGTGCCAGGGTTGCTGGATCAGTTTCTATGAAACTTGCAAATGCAGCAGGATGCCACAGCTGTTCGGAGGTTGACTCAGTCGCTGGCTGCGATGCTGGGTCAATTTCTATGAAACTCGCAAATGCAGCTGGGCGGAAGACCGGTGTCGGACATATTTGGCGCTTGATCTTGGTATGCGTTGTTGTAGCTATCCATATTCATTCCATTGAAATCGGGGCTGGCCTGAGGATTTACAGTTTCGGGCGGGTGAAACTGGGCGGTACTCGATCCTGGTGTGTTCGCAGCATTTTCCAGTCTGGTAGATGGCCGGCCCGGATTATCCAGTAGCTCGGAGAGGGGTTTGGGCGTGATGATACCGTCGTTGTCCCAGGTCATGTGTCGCTTCACTTCATTTAATAAACGGCTCGGGGAATCCCTAAGCGAGGAATAAGAATATTGCCCTTTTCCATATGTATGTAATCCTTGAAGTATGATTTTTGCAGCTAAGATAGACCTCTCAATCCTCTTTTCACTAGGATACCGTTGTTGGTGCCAACGAGCGATCGCTTGCCGCAGTCGATTTGTTAGTTGGTATTCACAACTAATAATTGTTAGCTATTGAATTAAACAAAAGAAGAGAATAACTCACATTCCAGAAACTTCGGGCTTCAATTCTAATATAATAGCCAGATTGTCTCTCATCAAGTTAATATAGCTTTTCCCTCGTTTTTCAACTTGTTTGACTTGTTTGACATCGCAACCCCAGTCTTTTGCAACCATTTTGAAAGCTCGGGACTTGCGTTTGCCATAATCGCTGCCAACCTCGGAACTCTTGTGATCAACTTCAAAAGTCGCATAGACCAAGGAAATCCGGCTTGCAATGAAATATATTGTTAGCCTTGCTTCTATGTTTTTCATAACACTGTACAAGCGGCGTCCCGGAGTTGGAAGGTTCCAGTCAATGAGGCTTTCAGTTGAAGACCAAATCTGCTGGGAAGAGCTAATTGGGAAAGGCCCATCTATAAAGGCCGCCTTCAATCTCCGCCTGTATCCAGGGGTTCTTTAAGTAGCCGTCTAGCCAGGAGAACTCAGTGCGTCGCCTAAATGATGTCACCTTAGCACATGCAGATAACGCTTTTGATCCTTTCAAAGGTGTGCTGTGCTGCTTTACTAATATATGGATCCCTTAGGGGCAACCTTTACCATGGCCGACGTTGTGCCAAGGGCGGCCCAAGTAACAGGGGAAACCCAAGGCACCGGCGCCACCATGCTGTTGGACCCAGTCTACCTGTTCAAAGGGAAGCTTCGAGCTGCTGCCACCCGTGGCAAGTTCCACGATGCCTCTGATCTGCGTTGGTTGGAGAACAATTACCTTTCTAGACTCCAGGAGAACAGAGGCCAGTTAAGTCTCCTCTATGTTGGCTTAGCATTGAAGCGCTATCCTGAGCTCCAGCACTGCTTCACGCGCATCGGCATCAACTACAGCTATCCGGTGTATGAGGCTCTATTTGATGACCCAGCGCCCTCCGAAATGAGGCGGCAGCCACCGAAAAAACGTAAAATTCCCAACTTGGACACGGTTTTGGTAAGACTCTTCCTCGTATGGCTCATGGTGGGGCTTTTTCCACTAGGTAGAGATTTTTATGGCCAACCTCGCGTCTAATATTGAAATCATGGGTGGTGGAAAGAGGCGGAGGAGTTGGAGGTCTACATGTTTGATTGCTGAGTCGAAGCCAAGCCAAGCCAAGCCCCAGCACCCTTCCCGAGGGGTCTTCTGCGTCCCACCAATTTAGTTTCACGTGATGTAGATCTGTAGATCTCCCTACGTCTCGTCTGGAACCAACCCAGAAAATTTCATAATCTAGCACGCCATCCAATTTCACCCGCAATCCATTTCGCTTGCAATCCATCTGCAGCGCTTTCTGTTATTGTTCCCCACTCAATATCTCTGTGTTTTTTATACTGAGGAGTAAAAAGCACAGAAGTATTCTGAGTACAGCATTGAAATGAGATGATTACTCTGTCAGTAAGAATAGAGAGTGGTGAAAGTTAGAACTGAAGGGCAGGGTCATCATTCAAAAATTTATAGAATTGTCAAGAGGAAAACATATTCATTTGGGCCGTGGGTCCTTGGTTGTCACAGGGCCACAGAAATCGGTTCAATGGCCTCTGCCGTCCACAGGCCAGCATGGCCACAAGTTGGTCGCCTTTGGGCCTACCAGGTCCATGGACCGCGATCCATGGACCCGTCAGGCCTATTGGCTCCTGCTGTTGAATATTGCTGTGGCTGGAGGATCACGGTGGCTGAAGGTTGTGGCTAGGCTGGAACTGATATATATATGTATATAGACTGTCCCGCCTCAGTGTAAAATGTATTAACAAGGAAGAATAATCCCATACTCTGAACCTATTTCAACAGGTTATGAGCCCGGGTTGCCTGCGCAACACCTGTATCCTCCTTTTTCAAACAGCTAAGTTTCCCCTCTCTCAACATGTTAGTCCCATCAGTTGAATCACTTAATTGACAGTTCTTAGAGACAATGGGCGTTGCTTTGATCTTGAATGGCTCTGAAAACTTCAGAAGAATGAGATGATTTATCTCTCTTCTCAGAGACCATATTCTCTCTGTCCAAGCAATATTCAAGTATGATGTGGCAAAATGTCCCCCCTCCACAACAAGAGGCATTGGGAACAATAGCCTATCATTGAATGACATATCATATTTGATTACGATGAACGAATCACCACATACCGATCATCGACCCATTCATACTGCAACAGCACAGAATTGATGCTGACATCTTCAATTTGCCTGCAACAAAATCATATCAGTCGGAAAAATTTATATCAGTTCCAACATGACAACTTTCAGAATTCACACCACAAAATGTCATCTCAATATCAAAAGTGAGTCCCATCTCAGTTTCAGAAAAGACATGGGCATCATTGAATGGAGAAAGAACTGAATCTGCTCTCATATCTTCAAGAAATACATAACTGGGATTTCCAGCGAATTCAAAAGTCATTTTTCCCATCACTTTCATATCACGCCGTTTGCAAGGCCCACTGGCATATGTCTGTGGAAGAATGCAACAGTTGAGCATCAATTATCATCTCTTAGAATACCATTTTGAGGCGTCGGAGTGCTCCTGATATCAACTCAACCTGCTCAAATTCCGGACCCTGTCACCTCTATACTTCTACTTCTCATTCCCTTCCTGAAAGCACTACTAGAGCCTCTACTGCATCCTCAGCAAGTTCTGAGGAAGACACAGTAATATCCAATCATAGGACTGGAAAACACTATAACCTTCAACCAAACAGGCCTACGAAGTTTTCACAAAGAAAACCTCAGTGTCGAGTTGATCACCGTCATTTCCCTCACTTCTTCAAATCATACAAGGATCACCTGGAATCGGACGGACTACCAGACAGAGACTACAGTCCTCCATCTCATACTCCTACGCCGGAATCGTCGGACCGCAGTCCCTCTATCATATCAACCCAGCTCAGCGACGCATCAAGCTTGGACCTTTTCGGTCTAGAGCCACGTTCCCCTAGGTTGTCAAGCCTCGAACCGTCCATAAACTCAGATCCGCCTATCGACATATCAAGCCCAGAATTCTTCAGCGCTGAAGAACAACCTCCTTCATCATGACTGACGTTGCAAAATTTGAGCAATTTGGTCTCAACTCATTCTATAACGCTATCCCCACGCTTGATAATGCCAACGACTGGTTTAAATGGAACCAGAAGGTCAATGAGTTCATCCGAATTTCTGCCATTGCTGATGATGGATCTACTCCGCCGGCGGAAGAAGAGCAAGCACAGCAATGAATCCACCGTCAAAGGTTTTACTCCGCAATGATTACAGCCAAATTGACACATGATGCAGCACAACGGCTCAATGCTTTTGATACCACTCGAGTACAATCGCTCCTCAAAGCAGTCAAGGATAACTTCAAGCCTGAGGGATCTGGAACCTATGTACAGCTCCAGAGATGATACTTGTCCCTCACCAGGGCAACATGTGGGAGTGCTCAAGCTCTTGGAGCCGAAATCAGAAAAATTCATGCAGAGAAGCTCCTCCTCGACTCCGCCTGTGTCACTTCCGAGATTGAGCAAATATTTTTCTTTCTACAAGCATTGGGCCCTGAGTACGAGAGCTTCCGTGATCATATATTCAGACAAATGGACCTTGTCAATGAGAGGGATGAAAATGGAAATGTTACAAAACCGGCTCCTACCTTTGATTCCATTGAAAACAAGGCAATTGAAGAAGAACATAGGAAGGGACAACTAGGCAGGCAGTCAATGGACACGCAAGCGCTCTCTACCTTTGCTCTAACACAAAAGTCTATGAACAGAAAAATCACACCTTCATCAGATGGAACCACGTGCCTAATTGAGATTTATGATGTTCCATACTGCTCCTTCTGTCGGAAACCTTACCATGTAGAGCCTGATTGTTTCAAGAAGAATCCAAAATTAAAGGATCAGCGAAAGGATGTTAAGGGACGCAAGGCGAGGCCAGGAAACTCACAAACAAATACGCGCAAGTCATCAAAAAGACGACCTAGTTCTGATAATGAGGATGATGAAATTGGTGGCCCAAGAGATTCAAAAAGGCCTACCTTTATGGCAGCAACGGCCTCGGAGGGGGATGTAAACGCCGCGTTCAGAAAGGACATTGAAGGAAATCTTGCCCTATTCAATCACACCTTCGCAATGGTAGCTACGAAGACTCCGTCAATTCATGACACTTGGATTTTCAACAGTGGATGTGCTCAGCATGTCTGCAACACTGCTGCCAGGTTCATTCAAATGAACAAATACTTCAGACCACCACTGAGAAGCGTCGATGCCTCCACGGCCCCATCAGGGGTGGGAACAGTGAATATCCTGTGCAATGTACGAGACAGAAGGAAATGGCTTGTTCTTGATAACATTCTCTTCATCCCCTCTGCACATGCAAGCCTCATATCCGTGCTCCAGCTCCTCAAACAAGGAGCAAAGGTTGAGTTCTCAAGCCAAGGCGCCAGTATTCGCAACAAATCAAGCCGAAAGAACCTGTATACTGCAAGCCAGTATCACGGGGTTTATGCACTTGATCTCTGGATAAATCACAGTTTTCCTGCCTATCACGTCAGTCGACAAATGGCTCTCTGGCATCATCGTCTGGCCCATATAAGTGATGCAAATCTACACCGACTCAAGACACAGGCTCATGGCGTTCGGGATATGGAACCACGCCAACCCTGCAACCCATGCCTCCAGGGCTGCATGACTGAAAAGCCTCACAGTTCCTCAAACAAAAAGGGAGAGTATGCAATGGAACTCCTTCATATTGATGTTGCTGGTTCATTTGACGAGGGTCTGGACAGCAGTTGCTACTGGCTCATCATTGTTGACGACTTTACAGGCTGGATAGAGATCATCCCTATACCACGATGACAAGAGTTTGTCATAGAATCGCTGCGCTTCTTCCTCGATCACAACAAGTGTCCTGAATGCAAATGTAGATGGATATGCCTCGATCGGATCCCTGAGCAGGTGGGAGAAGAAATGAAATTTATGCTCTTCTCACAGGCAATCCGGGCCGAAATCACGGGAGTTGACCAGTATCAACAGAATGAAGTTGCTGAAAGAGCGCACAGGACAATCTATGATAGAGTCAATCCAACACTGACACATGCAAAGCTGCCTTCAAAATTCTGGCCAGAGATTTCTCAAACTGCAGCATTCCTGTCTAATCAATCGCCATCATCCAAACTCAAAATGACTCCATATCAGGCCTGGTATGGTGACAAGCCGGATCTGTCACAACTTAGAGTAATTGGCTCAAGGGGAGAATATCTGATTCCACCCAAGCAAAGAAAGAAACTCTCAGACCCAAGAATGAGGCCATGTCTTCTGCTAGGATATGAAGGAAACACGAACTACTGTATTCTACTAGAAGATGGCAGAATCATTGAAACTCTGAATGCTGAATTTCAAGAAGTCCTAACCACTTCCTTCACACAGACTAGAAAAGATGTGGGAGCGGTACAAGACAACTCACCTGAGACAACAGCTGCTGCCGCAGGGGGAAGTTAGACGGTGGGACTATTAAACCAACTGTTGGTAAATGTATGGCATGCATCCGTGCCAGCCTCAGGACATCAAATGTCCACAGCATCACAAGAACAAAGACTGCCTCAATCGGGAAGCGACAACTTACAAGAGCAAATGTCTCAGTTAAGTGACAAAAACTCACAGCCCATTGCTGGACAGGAAGATAGAACCCTTTCGCCCACATGAAGTGAGGATGTCTTTGAACCATTTTCAGACGCTCCACAGGACACTGCTCATGAAAGCAACTCATCAACCAGCGGTGACCAGCAACAAGACAATGCTCAACAAGATCAAAGACCAGGAGATAGATTACAATATACAGAGCTCCAAGTTGATCGCCCGGAACACACACTGCAGCAAGAAACACTTGGACATCACCCTGAACTTAGGGTCCGTTTCTCGCAGACCACGCAGGATGCTTCCACTGAGAGTGAAGAAGAACTCACGCTGATGAATATACCTGAAGGAAATGTAATTCCAACATTCCTAACAGTAGCTGCAGAAGAAACGGAGCCTTTTGAACCAAAGACCCTTTGGCAAGCGAAGAGCAGCACCAGCTGGCCCGAATGGGAGAATGCAATGACTGACAAAGTGAACTCACTCAAGCAAAATAAGACATGGGAACTTATTGATCCTCTGAAAGACTGATGGGTTCTTAGCAGAAAGTGAGTCTTTAAGA